ACCAAGCTTCCTCGTCTGCCGACGCAAAAAAAAAGGAGGATACCTTCTTGCATGAGGTGTGCGTGGATGTTCAAGAGAATGCGAACACAGCTGTTCAGATGCTCAATGACATACTTGACTATGACAAGGTTGAATCCTCTACGTTGAAGCTGGAGCTCGACAATGTGCCCATTTGGACTTTGATCAGCAAGACGATTCAGCAATTTCAGGTTCAAGCCTTGGGGTCTCACGTTGCATTAAGGCTGAAACAAGATGATTCAAGAGGGAGACCAAAGAGCCTTAACGGCGAAGCTCACCTTGGAAGGCCTCGATCGGGTTCACTACGCGACTTTGAAAGTGGAGTTCATTGTGCTGCCGAGTTGGAGGCCACGACCGTCATTGGCGACGGGACAAAGTTGGGACAAGTATTCAGAAACATCATCTCCAATGCCCTTAAGGTAAGCACATTCAAGCGAGAGTTCGAGATGTGTTATCTGACTAACTAACTGCATACTGACCCTTCATCAACGCTTCTGCCGATGCAGTTCACACCACCGGATGGTACAATCAACGTCAGGGCTATCCATGTGCGCGACGGCCTCCCCTCCTACCAGCTTCCGTCCTCATACAATCCAACAGATTATGAATCCCAACAGCCTAGACGTGCCGGATCCATCCGGATCCAGTTCAAGGACAGTGGTGTGGGCATGACCAGGGAGCAACTGGGCAAGCTCTTCAACGAAGGCATTCAGTTCGATGTGAATCGATTGCAAAATGGTGGTGGCAGTGGCTTAGGCCTCGTCATTTCAAAGGGTATCGTCGAGCAGCACGGTGGAACTGTTTCAGTCACCTCAGGTGGAATTGGGCACGGCACCACATTCACGGTTGAACTTCCGCTCTTTCATCTTCCTTCTGAGCCAAGCAAAACGATGGATGACAGCACGGCTGCATCTATCGTGTCTGTCGAGGAGCCGCCTGAACCCACTGAACGTCGAGTGCTTGTCGTCGACGATGTCATGTCCAATCGAAAGATGTTAGTGCGCCTACTCGAGCGAGCTGGTCATACTTGTGACACTGCCACCAATGGAGAAGCAGCCATTCGAGCGGTTGAGGGCGATATTGGGGCCGTCATAGAGGACCGCAACCACGTTCCCTTTGATTGCATTCTCATGGAGTAAGTCTCGCCATTCTCGCCATTCTCGCCTAGTCGGATGATGCGGTATCTTCGTCACTTACCTTTGCATCTCATCTTCTTCCTCCACTCTGCTTGCTCAGCTATGAGATGCCTATCATGAATGGTCCTGATGCTACGGAGAGAATCCGAGATCTTGGCTTCGGAGGTCTTATCTTGGGCGTTACGGGTAACGTTTTGGCAGAAGACACCGACCACTTCCTCTCCAAAGGAGCTGATGAGATCATCGCCAAACCAGTCAAAATTGCAAAGTTGCAAGAATCTTGGGAAAGGCTCACACCCTCTCGAAAACGAAAATGGTCAGAATCCAAGGACGGAAACGTGGACTCGCAACAGCAGAGACTATTTGATGTCTAAACAGTCAACTGCCTTGCTGGCCAATTACAAAACACACAAGACATTGCCAAGGCAGCATTTCAACCAAAACCAATCAATCTTGCCAGCCAGTACCGTGTTGCATCTCCTCCATCCTGCAATCCGCTTCGCAACCGGTACCGGCGCAGCCGCTGCATCAAAGCATCGCCACATCACTTCCCAAGCGTCCTCTCTCCAATTCCTATGATGTGGCTGGAATGATGAATCACTCTGTACCATATATGACAGAGAATGCATAGTTACACACGCCACCAGCTAGCTAGGGCTTCTTAGCTTGCCATTAGAGTCGAGTCTACTACGATAAGTGCTACATTTTTAATTTAAAAGATTTACTTTTAAAAATTTTACGATGCTGAAACTAGAATATGAATTTACTACCGTGCAACTAAAGGATTGAATGAATCTATGGCTCCCGGATCTCCGTAGAAGCAGCATTTTTCTGGTACTCAGAAACCGGCTACGCCAACCCTGTGTAGGCCTGGTACACCTGACGTCACTGTTCTCTGGCCAAAAAAGAAACAACGGCAACACGGCAACCACTCAACACACTTCGAAATAAAGCATCAACCATGCCATGACAGTAAAGATGGCAACAGAGCTCTATTATCATGTTACCCCAGAGGTGCAGAGGACCTGGGTATCTCTTCTATACCCACTTAGGATCAATCGCCCTGAAAAACATTCAAGGTGTTAGCAGTGAAATGAAGAGAAAACAGCAGTACAAGCAGCAGAATGAGGATGGCGACACTCACCAGAAAAGAGGATATTGTGCTGTGGGATGACACCTTGGCTGCTTCCCATAAGAGATTGGATGAATAATTCCTTTTGGTATCAGCAGAGGGATCTCTTAGGTCTGTGGCAACAGGAAGGGTGCCTCTGATTGCTTTTCGAAGCCCTTTAGAGCCACTTCAAGTTGAGCCTTCCGCTCTGCTTCTGTGAAATCGGCACAGTTTTCTTTGATACGGGCATACTCGAGGTCCTTGAGATGCTTCCTCCTGTCGGAGTAATTAAGGGCTGTCATCGCAGCTCTTGATTGCTCTCCAAGTCGGAAGACAAGTTTGCGGACGGGATAACAGCTTACACATCAGGCTTTACAGCTTTACAACTAGCAGGCTTATTCTAGAAAATATTCAAAACTGCTCACTTATTTGGGAATACAAACTTTCATCTCTTAGATCTTTAGATAGTCAATGCACAATGTTTTTGTCGCATGGTAGCATTCGAAGTTATGAGAAGTTACTCATTCTATTTCTTATATGTCTATCCTTTATGTTGTCAATGGAATTGCTATCCCTTGGTGCATAGTCCTGTGTTTCTTCTTATTCTTACATCGCGTAGTCCTTCCCTTATTGCAAATTAATCCCCTGGATTCGCTCGCAAGCAATTCCCCTTGTCAACCTGCTGGGATTCGCTCGTAAGCAACCCTCTTGTTCTTTATCCTTCATCGACCAACTATCGTGATGAGGACTCTTGGATTCGCTCGAAAGCAAAACCCCCCTTGTTCCATGACGATCGTAATCTCAATGAGGATCCTTTATCTATTACGATCGATCGATCGCTGCAGCAGCCACTACTGTTCTACTACTACCGCTACTGCTATTACTGTTTCTATCACCGGCAAATCGTGCATCATCTCGCGTACGATCGCGACGACATCCAAGTAACAGCAGCAAAATTCATCGAAAAATGAGCTCCATGCATACTAAGGCTCGGCTTGTGTGTCATGCTTGAATCATGCTTCGAGGGTCTTTATTATCGATTCCAATGCCTGAGTCATGCTTTATTACCCGATATTATAGGTTTGAACTGCCTGAGTCATGCTTGGCTTATGTCTTCGAAGCAAACTCCTCACTTTTTCATTCCAAACGTGAAAAACAACAACACGAGCGATGATCGTAACACGAGCGATGATTGTCTTTGTTGTTGTTCTTCACGTACATTCGATTTTTGTTGTTGCTCCGTCCATCGCTCGCGTCGTTTTAACTGGCTTGCAGTTGGTCGTTTGAACTGGCTTGCAGTTGTTATTCAAACGACCGATTCGCCCAACATTGCAGTTGTTATTCAAACGACCGATTCGCCCAACGATGTTGTTATTCAAACGACCCACGACGATTCGCCGAACGACGCGAAGAACAACAATAAAGCTCATAAATTCCAGCTTCGATTGACTCGATTGACTGGATACTCTTGTTGCCGCTCATCCTCTTGTTGCCATCACCGCCGCTGCTGCTCCTCTGTTGTTGATTTCCAATCTCGATTGACTGACCCACCGCGCTCCTTTCACTTGATGGACCTTGACGACGCTTCCTCTGCCTCAGCATCCTCATCTTCATCTTCAACAGCAGCGCCAGCATCAGCATCCTTGTTCAGTCCACAAGGCTTCAGACAAGCCTTCTTTGAATCTGATCCAATCATCCCACCATCTGATCCTCCAATCATGACATGCGCACATTGACCGCAGTTCAATTCCAGGGCTCCTCCAGCACATTGGGAAAACCAAAGAGAAGACCAAGCTTACAGAAGCCCCTCGGCTTGGAGGTATCAACTTCACTGGAGCCTGGACAGGATTCGGCCAAGATGGACTGAGAAAGGAACTCAAAGCACCCTATGCCTCAGGGGTTTCCATGGATGAGACCATCGAAAAACATCACACACACACAGCCCATATGAATTGGCATGGCAAGGAAAGGACTTAATGGATTCGGGCCCCCAGTTCTCCGTATTCTCGACTGACGTGAAGTCAAATGCCTCTGGGTCCCATGTTTTAGCCTCTCTCATCGCCTTTGAAAGTATGATGACTGAACATGGAATGGAAGGGGTCTTCCAGCTTGTTGTTGGAGATCTCAATACCAACACTATCAACCTTGCTTCTTCCACCATGGGATTACCTATGTCCGCTGCTGATGTCCCTGTTCTAGCCACTGATGAGTTTATACACGCCAGTCCCAATGTTGGGTATGATTTTGATTCCATGCAGGTCAACATGGCAGCAGTAGATCTCAGTTCTGATGAGACCTCCGCTCTCTTCAGATACCTCAATGGGGCTTTCATGTGACGCTTCGGCAGAATAACACACTTGGCAACAGTGTTTCTCATTGCCTATTCTTTTGCCCACTCATGCCCCTCTATCTCGGGTCTATCCTTCTCATGTATTGGAGGGAGAAGATGAGTCTGCTATGCAGACATTCAAATACACTTCGAATTCCAGCTTTACTCTTGGAGGGAGCAATCTTTCAGCCCCCAACTAAGGTGATGTCCCATCTCCTTTCCTCTTATCTCATTGGACTATTGTCTCGGTGGGGTTTGTTTTTGTCTTCTTTGTTTTACAACTTGCTTCTAAGTTCAAGGTTATACCATTCTTAGTGGCTTCTTGCATCACCAAACTTGTTCTTCCCGCTTCATCGGCCAAAACATTGGATCCGACCCGACCCAGACATACTTGTCAATTCCCAATGTTCTTCGGACCTGTGTACACCTGTTCTCTTCAGCATAAATTAACTCTTAAGACACTATGTCGTCTCTTCTCAACCCCAACTCCAACAGGCTTCCTCGCAAATGTCGGGCCAACAGAAACCCTGTCGAGATACAAGCTGATGGGCCTCCTTGGAGTCATTGGGAACTCAGTCACTGGGGCACAATCATTCCAGCTCTCCAGTGATCTTGTCTTTAGAAAACAGCTTCGAAGCTATCGATCAATGCAGGGAGAACTGAAGACACACAGTCTCACGGCACCACACATGCTGGCTCTCCAACAACGCATCCAATCTTCTAATGAATCCTTTGCCCAAGTCACTTCTTATTGCCCATATGTCTTCAGTGCTATTGTTGATAGTGGATGTTCCTATTCTTGCACCAATACTTTCAGTGATGTTGACCCAAATTCTATCAGAAAGCTTTCCGAACCAATTATCCTAGGAGGTATCGCTGGAGGTCTGAGCATCGAGTACATCGGCACTACTGATTGGGAGACTTTGGATGAGCAAGCAAATGTTGTGTCATTTCGGGAGCAGGTTCTTATTCATCCTGATCTTCCAAACAGACTCCTAAGCCCTCAAGCTTTCTTGTCCCATCAAGGACTTGACCCAAAGACATGAAACTCAGCGATCACTTCAGAGTCTACCACGACCATGCTGAATGGCATACGGGAGGAAAGAAAATGCTACAAATGAAGTTTGACTCCAGTTTTCTACCACGACTTACTCTGTTCCCAAAAGGAAAGGCACTCTCTTCTCTACAAGCAATGACTTCAGTTCTTCATACCAACAACCGGAACCTTTCTACATTTGACAAAATCTGGCTGCAATGGCATTACAAGTTGGGACATCTGTCCTTCTCCCATGTCCAGTCTCTTGGGCTGGGTGGTTTCTTAGACAAAAGAGGTCTTGGTTTGCTTAGAAGCAAAGTTGGTGACCATCCGAAATGTGCCGCCTGTCAATATGGAAAGCAAGTCAGACAACATGACCACACTACTGTCACCAAGAAGCTTCCAGACAAACAGGGAGCCCTCAAGAAGGAACAGTTGGAGCCAGGTATGACAACATTCAGTGACCAATTGGAGTCACGAGTGAGAGGAAGATTGATGCACACTGCAGGAAGGGAACAAGACAGCAATAAGTTCTGTGGAACTTCAATATTTTGTGATGCTGCATCAGCAGCCATCTTTGCCCATCACCAAGTTACATTGAATGCTTCTGATTCTATCATGGCCAAGGAAGCATACGAACGATGGTGTCTCGAACATGGGGTTGTGGTTCAGTCATATCACACTGACAATGGCATCTACAAAAGCCAAGCATATGTCCAACATCTTAGGGACCACCATCAATCAATCAGATACTCTGCAACCGGTGCCAAATGGCAGAATGGGGTTTCTGAGGAGCCATTAGAATTGTAGTAACCAAAGCTAGAACAATGATGATCCATGCTGCACTTCTATGGCCGGAAGTTGATGATGAATCCCTTTGGCCTTCAAAATGGCAGCC